CAAAGTAACAAAGCCTACCATCAGTAACACACTACGCCGCCAGGGACTCAAATCCTGCAGTGCCAGACGTGTCCCCCTGCTTAAGCCAGTACATGTCCAGGCCCGTCTGAAGTTTGCTAGAGTGCATTTGGATGATCCAGAAGAGGATTGGGAGAATGTCATATGGTCAGATGAAACCAAAATAGAACTTTTTGGTAAAAACTCAACTCGTCGTGTTTGGAGTACAAAGAATGCTGAGTTGCATCCAAAGAACACCATACCTACTGTGAAGCATGGGGGTGGAAACATCATGCTTTGGGGCTGTTTTTCTGCAAAGGGACCAGGACGACTGATCCGTGTAAAGGAAAGAATGAATGGGGCCATGTATCGTGAGATTTTGAGTGAAAACCTCCTTCCATCAGCAAGGGCATTGAAGATGAAACATGGCTGGGTCTTTCAGCATGACAATGATCCCAAACACACCGCCCGGGCAACGAAGGAGTGGCTTCGTAAGAAGCATTTCAAGGTCCTGGAGTGGCCTAGCCAGTCTCCAGATCTCAACCCCATAGAAAATCTTTGGAGGGAGTTGAAAGTCTGTGTTGCCCAGCGACAGCCCCAAAACATCACTGCTCTAGAGGAGATCTGCATGGAGGAATGGGCCAAAATACCAGCAACAGTGTGTGAAAACCTTGTGAAGACTTACAGAAAACGTTTGACCTGTGTCATTGCCAACAAAGGGTATATAACAAAGTATTGAGAAACTTTTGTTATTGACCAAATACTTATTTTCCACCATAATTTGCAAATAAATTCATAAAAAATCCTACAATGTGATTTTCTGGATTTTTTTTCCTCATTTTGTCTGTCATAGTTGACGTGTACCTATGATGAAAATTACAGGCCTCTCTCATCTTTTTAAGTGGGAGAACTTGCACAATTGGTGGCTGACTAAATACTTTTTTTCCCCACTGTAGCACTGCGATGCAGTGCCTTAGACCACTGCGCCACTCGGGAGGTAACAGTTTTATGGCATTGTTGCTAATGACCATGTCAACAATTACAGCTTCCTGCTGAGCAGAGAAAATCCTACCTCTCCCCCCTCCATTTGTTAACCGTTGGGTCCTAAAACATAAATAAAATGACACACAAGTGGTTCGGAGAGCTTTTGCTCGATTTACTACTCTACAGTAATATCAGTACAGTTAGATGCCCATGCAGAATGCATATCTTACCTGTTAGTTTGCTGGAAGGTTATAATAGATGACACAGTTGAGCGTTGCAAATTTGGCTGCCCTCTGAGACCAGTATCTCTCATTGATAGACCATGATTGACAACATGATCAATGATTGTAGCCCTAATCTCATCTGACACTACAACTCTGGGTCTTCCCCTGAGTCGTCTTCCACCACGGATACGTAATCCTCTGCCTCTCTCTGCAACTCTTCCACCTCTGTAAGCCACTACACGATCTCTGGCTGCGTCCATGATTATGTAAAATATATTCCAAAGATGTCCCCTTTTGTAGAGATGGTAATGACATAAAAATGGAAAACACCTGGGTAGGTCTTCAGTTACGTAATGTAGAATGAAAATCAGCTGTGAATAATTAAGAGTTATTATTATTATATTTTTTATTTTAGAATTTCTATTTTGCTTTTACTGTAGCAATGTAAAAAATTGCAGTCTAATTCAATTTTCAGTAGCTTTTGAACTTGAGTTTAACAGTTTTGATAAGGGTATCTTAACATTTGTAAAATGGTCTGTAGATCATAGAGTTTTGTTGGTAAATGTGTTTTTGTGAGACAAGAATGTATGTAATTTGAAAGATGTCATTGAATGCATTTTGTGTCAAAGCAATGACAAATGATCCACAGGTTGCCACATAGAGTGTTGTTGTGATAACTGTATTTAGAGTTTTGCACATGTATCCACAGTATTGAACAATGCTTGTTAGCAATCGAAAAAACGGTAAATCTACTGATCATCACAAGAGGCTATAGGGTTATACAACAGATAGATGTGAAGCATCCGCTTAGCGTTTCCATTCACAATCAATGTGGTAGTGAGAGGAAGCCCACTGGCCGGCAGTGCGAGAAGATGGTGCGAGATGGATTTTGGCTGACATTCTGCAAATTTTCTAATCGATGAAACATTTGATCTCAATACAGTTTTCTGTTCCCAAAACTAGAATCTGTTATGAACAGAGTGGAATAAGTTTTGTAGACTTTATCCTTTGCAAAGGTTTTTTCAAATTGCGTTGTTTAGAAGGAGTGCAAAGGCGAATTGAGTTATTGCACACGTGCACTTCACAGAGGAGGTGTTCCCTAACGGAAACATGCAGATGTCTGCTAGAACGCGCCAATAGGATCTCGCTAGCTCGTTCTTGGCTCTGCCCACCTCCTTGCTTGTTCTGCCCACTATGACTCATTTGTTCCTATTGGAAACGACAGGCTGTGGTCTATCTTGGTTTACTTATACAAATATTTGGTTATTCTCAGCACCCTACATCCATTAAGAGGCTGGATTGTTAGTCACATGACTTAGTAAAACCTCATTCCATCTAGATGTTCTAAAAGGCCCCGTATCAATGATCAGCTCCATGACTATAGTGTCAGAATAAAACACTGTTCTGCCTCCGCTCAACAACCACCCCTCCATCCATCCCTCCCTCCCTCCCTCCATCCCTCTATCCCTCCATCCTTCCATCCATCCTTGTTAGTCCTGCTGCCTCATGTTGCCTCTAACTCTAACTAATGATCTATTAGCTTAATTGAGGTGAGCTGAAGGGATGGAGAGAGTGAAAGAAGGAGAGGAGGAAGGCAGGGGGATGGAGAGAGTGAAGAAGGAGAGGAGAAAGGGAGAGTGATGGAGAGAGAGAAGAGGGAGATGAGAGAAGCGGAGGCATCATGGAAGGTTGTTCGCCAACTGGCACCTTGGTCCGCTCTTTGCTAGAAACAAACTCTGTGTGACTGGTCCATCTGCAGTGGCTGACCTTTGGTAGGGATTAGAGGTCAGAGTTCATAAAGACAGAGAGGGGGTGGGGGGGTAAATGGGTCTACGGGTGACTGGACATGACCTGCTTTGTACGCCCCACTGTAATAGTAGGGGAAACACTGATATGTGTGTGTGTTTGTGTGTGTATTGTGTGTCTCTCTCTCTTTCTATCTCTGTCTGTCTGTCTCTCTCTCTCTCTCTCTCACTCTCTCACTCTCTCTCTCTCTCTCTCTCTCTCTCTCTCGTCTCTCTCTCTCTCTCTCATCTCTCTCTCTCTCTCTCTCTCGCTCTCTCTCTCTCTCTCTGTCTCTGTCTCTGTCTCTCTCGCTCCCTCTCTTCTCTCTCTCTCTTGTCTCTCTCTTCTCTCTCGCTCTCATCTCCCTCTCTCTCTCTCTCTCCCCACCCACATCATGCCCAGGTTGCCCAGCGTTTGTATTCATCCAATGCCAAGGGTCTAGGGTTCTAGGGTGGGTGATGCCCGCTGGCACAGACTGGTGGATACAGCCTCGGAGTTACGCAGAGTGAGGGAGCGAGAACGAGAGAGGAGAGAGAGAGAGAGAGAGAGAGAGAGAAGAGAGGAGAGTAGAAGAGAGAGAAATGAGAGCGGAGAGAGATAGACGGAGAGAGCTCGTAGAGAGCGAGAGCTAGAGCTCTCGATGAGGCTCCGAGCGCTCTCTATCGCGATGCTCGCGCTCTCTCTCTAGACGAAAGTCGCAGTTACGCTGTTCTTCGTTTCCGTTGTGCCAGGATTGAGAAACAGAGATCTAGATTATATTATCTGGTTCTAAGGAGCTTTCATCTGCAGAGATGTATCAGAATAAGTAACTATTTGCACTAAATATTTTAGGAAATCTGTCTGTGCCCCATATCTCTTTGAAGATCTACGTCATATACTCATATCAGATATACGTCAGATCTACGTCATATACTCATATCAGATATACGTCAGATCTACGTAATATACTCAGATAAGAGCTACGTCAGATCTATGTCATATACTCAAATAAGAGCTACGTCAGATCTATGTCATATACTCATATAAGAGCTACGTCAGATCTATGTCATATACTCATATAAGAGCTACGTCAGATCTATGTCATATACTCATATAAGAGCTACGTCAGATATATTTCTATCTAGTTCATCTTAACGGTCATGTTTTCCCCCAATACATTTATAGCCTATTTGTGACTGTGTCAGCTAAGTGGTGAGTGCACACAGTGTATGGTGTCTATTGTCTTGGAGACAATGGATGTGTTTGTAGCTGGAGGAGAACGGATGCTTTTGTCCTGGTTCTATATGAGCAGGTCTGGATTACACCCCGCAGAAGGCCCCTATTGTTGGGGGAGAAGAACGGATACAGGGGCTGGGGCTAGTTGGTAGAGGGATACACAGAGGCTGCACATTACACTCTTAGATTTCCTTTTTCCAAAAGGGTTCTTCGGCTGTCCCCATAAGATAATACTTTTTGGTTCCAGGTAGAACCCTTTTTGGTTCCAGGTGGAACCGTTTTCGGTTCCATGTAGAACCCTCTGTGGAAAGGGATCTACATGGAACCCAAAATGGCTCTACCTGGAACCAAAATGGTTCTACCTGGAACCAAAAGGGTTCTACTTGGAACCAAAAAGGGTTCTTCAAAGGGTTATCCTATGGGGACAGCCGAAGAACCCTTTTAGGTTCTAGATAGCAGCTTTTTTCTAAAAGGGTAAAGAAGGACAATGAGGGCTGGGGCTTGGTAAAGGGATACACAGTGGCTGTAAATTAGATGGGGAGAGGAGGAAGGTGAGGGGTTGGGCTGTAGATTGGTAAAGGATACATTGGGCTGAGGCTGTTAGTTGGTATGGGATACAGAGGTTTCCAATTGTAGGTTAGTAAGAGATACATTGAGTTGAGGCTGAAAGTTAGAAGGAGAGAGTAGGGAGAGGAGGGCTGACTGTGAAAGTTGGCACGGAATAGAAAGATTTGGGCTATAGGATGGAAAAAGATACATTGGGCTGGGTCTGTACGATGGTAATGTGGGGGAGGGCTGGGTCTGTACATTGGTAATGGGAGAGGAGGGCTGGGTCTGTACGTTGGTAATGGGAGAGGAGGGCTGGGTCTGTACGTTGGTAATGGGAGAAGAGGGCTGGGTCTGTACGTTGGTAATGGGAGAGGAGGGCTGGGTCTGTATGTTGGTAAAGGGAGAGGAGGGCTGGGTCTGTACGTTGGTAATGGGAGAGGAGGGCTGGGTCTGTACGTTGGTAATGTGAGAGGAGGGCTGGGTCTGTACGTTGGTAATGGGAGAGGAGGGCTGGGTCTGTACGTTGGTAAGGTGAGAGGATGGGCTGGGTATGTACGTTGGTAAGGTGAGAGAAGGGCTGGGTCTGTATGTTGGTAAGGTGAGAGGAGGGCTGGGTCTGTACGTTGGCAAGGTGAGAGGAGGGTTGGGTCTGTACATTGGTAAGGTGAGAGGAGGGCTGAGTCTGTACGTTGGTAAGTTGAGAGGAGGAATGGGTCTGTACGTTGGTAAGGTGAGAGGAGGGCTGAGTCTGTACGTTGGTAAGTTGAGAGGAGGAATGGGTCTGTACGTTGGTAAGGTGAGAGGAGGGCTGGGTCTGTACGTTGGTAAGGTGAGAGGAGGGCTGTGTCTGTACATTGGTAATGGGAGAGGAGGGCTGGGTCTGTACGTTGGTAATGGGAGAGGAGGGCTCGGTCTGTAATAATAATATAATAATAATATACCATTTAGCAGACGCTTTTATCCAAAGCGACTTACAGTCATGCGTGCATACATTTTTGTGTATGGGTGGTCCCGGGGATCGAACCCACTACCTTGGCGTTACAAGCGCCGTGCTCTACCAGCTGAGCTACAGAGGACCACAGTACATTGGTAATGGGAGATGACGGCTGGGTCTGTACGTTGGTAGTGGGAGAGGAGGACTGGGTCTGTACGTTGGTAAGGTGAGAGGATGGGCTGGGTCTGTACGTTGGTAAGGTGAGAGGAGGGCTGGGTCTGTACGTTGGTAAGGTGAGAGGAGGACTGGGTCTGTACGTTGGTAAGGTGAGAGGAGGGCTGGGTCTGTACGTTGGTAAGGTGAGAGGAGGGCTGGGTCTGTACGTTGGTAATGGGAGCGGAGGGCTGGGTCTGTACGTTGGTAAGGTGAGAGGAGGGCTGGGTCTGTACGTTGGTAAGGTGAGAGGAGGGCTGTGTCTGTACGTTGGTAATGGGAGAGGAGGGCTCGGTCTGTACATTGGTAGTGGGAGAGGAGGACTGGGTCTGTACGTTGGTAAGGTGAGAGGAGGGCTGGGTCTGTACGTTGGTAAGGTGAGAGGAGGGCTGGGTCTGTATGTTGGTAAGGTGAGAGGAGGGCTCAGTCTGTACGTTGGTAAGTTGAGAGGAGGTGAGAGGAGGGCTGGGTCTGTAAGTTGGTAATGGGAGAGGAGGGCTGGGTCTGTACGTTGGTAATGGGAGATGAGGGCTGGGTCTGTACGTTGGTAGTGGGAGAGGGGGGCTGGGTTTGTACATTGGTAAGGTGAGAGGATGGGCTGGGTATGTACGTTGGTAAGGTGAGAGGAGGGCTGGGTCTGTACGTTGGTAAGGTGAGAGGAGGGCTGGGTCTGTACGTTGGTAAGGTGAGAGGAGGGCTGAGTCTGTACGTTGGTAAGGTGAGAGGAGGGCTGAGTCTGTACGTTGGTAAGTTGAGAGGAGGGCTGGGTCTGTACGTTGGTAAGGTGAGAGGAGGGCTGGGTCTGTACGTTGGTAAGGTGAGAGGAGGGCTGGGTCTGTACGTTGGTAAGGTGAGAGGAGGGCTGTGTCTGTACATTGGTAATGGGAGAGGAGGGCTGGGTCTGTACGTTGGTAATGGGAGAGGAGGGCTCGGTCTGTACGTTGGTAATGGGAGATGAGGGCTGGGTCTGTACGTTGGTAGTGGGAGAGGAGGGCTGGGTCTGTACGTTGGTAAGGTGAGAGGAGGGCTGGGTCTGTACGTTGGTAAGGTGAGAGGAGGGCTGGGTCTGTACGTTGGTAATGGGAGAGGAGGGCTTGGTCTGTACGTTGGTAAGGTGAGAGGAGGGCTGAGTCTGTACGTTGGTAAGTTGAGAGGAGGGCTGGGTCTGTACGTTGGTAAGGTGAGAGGAGGGCTGGGTCTGTACGTTGGTAAGGTGAGAGGAGGGCTGGGTCTGTACGTTGGTAAGGTGAGAGGAGGGCTGGGTCTGTACGTTGGTAAGGTGAGAGGAGGGCTGGGTCTGTACGTTGGTAAGGTGAGAGGAGGGCTGGGTCTGTACGTTGGTAATGGGAGCGGAGGGCTGGGTCTGTAAGTTGGTAAGGTGAGAGGAGGGCTGGGTCTGTACGTTGGTAATGGGAGAGGAGGGCTGGATCTGTACGTTGGTAATGGGAGAGGAGGGCTGGGTCTGTATGTTGGTAAGGTGAGAGGAGGGCTGGGTCTGTACGTTGGTAAGGTGAGAGGAGGGCTGGGTCTGTACGTTGGTAATGGGAGAGGAGGGCCGGGTCTGTACATTGGTAAGGTGAGAGGAGGGCTGGGTCTGTACGTTGGTAATGGGAGAGGATGGCTGGGTCTGTACGTTGGTAAGGTGAGAGGAGGGCTGGGTCTGTACGTTGGTAAGGTGAGAGGAGGGCTGGGTCTGTACGTTGGTAATGGGAGAGGAGGGCCGGGTCTGTACATTGGTAAGGTGAGAGGAGGGCCGGGTCTGTACGTTGGTAATGGGAGAGGATGGCTGGGTCTGTACGTTGGTAAGGTGAGAGGAGGGCCGGGTCTGTATGTTGGTAAGGTGAGAGGAGAGCTGGGTCTTTACGTTGGTAAGGTGAGAGGAGTTCTGGGTCTGTACATTGGTAAGGTGAGAGGAGGGCTGGGTCTATACGTTGGTAAGGTGAGAGGAGGGCTGGGTCTGTACGTTGGTAATGGGAGAGGAGGGCTGGGTCTGTACGTTGGTAATGGGAGAGGAGGGCTGGGTCTGTACGTTGGTAAGGTGAGAGGAGGGCTGGGTCTGTACGTTGGTAAGGTGAGAGGAGGGCTGGGTCTGTACGTTGGTAAGGTGAGAGGAGGGCTCAGTCTGTACGTTGGTAAGTTGAGAGGAGGTGAGAGGAGGGCTGGGTCTGTAAGTTGGTAATGGGAGAGGAGGGCTGGGTCTGTACGTTGGTAATGGGAGATGAGGGCTGGGTCTGTACGTTGGTAGTGGGAGAGGGGGGCTGGGTTTGTACATTGGTAAGGTGAGAGGATGGGCTGGGTATGTACGTTGGTAAGGTGAGAGGAGGGCTGGGTCTGTACGTTAGTAAGGTGAGAGGAGGGCTGGGTCTGTACGTTGGTAAGGTGAGAGGAGGGCTGGGTCTGTACGTTGGTAAGGTGAGAGGAGGGCTGGGTCTGTATGTTGGTAAGGTGAGAGGAGGGCTGTGTCTGTACATTGGTAATGGGAGAGGAGGGCTGGGTCTGTACGTTGGTAATGGGAGAGGAGGGCTCGGTCTGTACGTTGGTAATGGGAGATGAGGGCTGGGTCTGTACGTTGGTAGTGGGAGAGGAGGGCTGGGTCTGTACGTTGGTAAGGTGAGAGGAGTGCTGGGTCTGTACGTTGGTAAGGTGAGAGGAGGGCTGGGTCTGTACGTTGGTAAGGTGAGAGGAGGGCTTGGTCTGTACGTTGGTAAGGTGAGAGGAGGGCTTAGTCTGTACGTTGGTAAGTTGAGAGGAGGGCTGGGTCTGTACGTTGGTAAGGTGAGAGGAGGGCTGGGTCTGTACGTTGGTAAGGTGAGAGGAGGGCTGGGTCTGTATGTTGGTAAGGTGAGAGGAGGGCTGGGTCTGTACGTTGGTAAGGTGAGAGGAGGGCTGGGTCTGTACGTTGGTAAGGTGAGAGGAGGGCTGGGTCTGTACGTTGGTAATGGGAGCGGAGGGCTGGGTCTGTAAATTGGTAAGGTGAGAGGAGGGCTGGGTCTGTACGTTGGTAATGGGAGAGGAGGGCTGGATCTGTACGTTGGTAATGGGAGAGGAGGGCTGGGTCTGTACGTTGGTAAGGTGAGAGGAGGGCTGGGTCTGTACGTTGGTAAGGTGAGAGGAGGGCTTGGTCTGTACGTTGGTAATGGGAGAGGAGGGCCGGGTCTGTACATTGGTAAGGTGAGAGGAGGGCTGGGTCTGTACGTTGGTAATGGGAGAGGATGGCTGGGTCTGTACGTTGGTAAGGTGAGAGGAGGGCTGGGTCTGTACGTTGGTAAGGTGAGAGGAGAGCTGGGTCTTTATGTTGGTAAGGTGAGAGGAGTTCTGGGTCTGTACATTGGTAAGGTGAGAGGAGGGCTGGGTCTATACGTTGGTAAGGTGAGAGGAGGGCTGGGTCTGTACGTTGGTAATGGGAGAGGAGGGCTGGGTCTGTACGTTGGTAATGGGAGAGGAGGGCTGGGTCTGTACGTTGGTAAGGTGAGAGGAGGGCTGGGTCTGTACGTTGGTAAGGTGAGAGGAGGGCTGGGTCTGTACGTTGGTAAGGTGAGAGGAGGGCTCAGTCTGTACGTTGGTAAGTTGAGAGGAGGTGAGAGGAGGGCTGGGTCTGTAAGTTGGTAATGGGAGAGGAGGGCTGGGTCTGTACGTTGGTAATGGGAGATGAGAGCTGGGTCTGTACGTTGGTAGTGGGAGAGGGGGGCTGGGTTTGTACATTGGTAAGGTGAGAGGATGGGCTGGGTATGTACGTTGGTAAGGTGAGAGGAGGGCTGGGTCTGTACGTTAGTAAGGTGAGAGGAGGGCTGGGTCTGTACGTTGGTAAGGTGAGAGGAGGGCTGGGTCTGTACGTTGGTAAGGTGAGAGGAGGGCTGGGTCTGTATGTTGGTAAGGTGAGAGGAGGGCTGTGTCTGTACATTGGTAATGGGAGAGGAGGGCTGGGTCTGTACGTTGGTAATGGGAGATGAGGGCTGGGTCTGTACGTTGGTAGTGGGAGAGGAGGGCTGGGTCTGTACGTTGGTAAGGTGAGAGGAGGGCTGGGTCTGTACGTTGGTAAGGTGAGAGGAGGGCTGTGTCTGTACGTTGGTAAGGTGAGAGGAGGGCTTGGTCTGTACGTTGGTAAGGTGAGAGGAGGGCTTAGTCTGTACGTTGGTAAGTTGAGAGGAGGGCTGGGTCTGTACGTTGGTAAGGTGAGAGGAGGGCTGGACCTGTACGTTGGTAAGGTGAGAGGAGGGCTGGGTCTGTACGTTGGTAAGGTGAGAGGAGGGCTGGGTCTGTACGTTGGTAAGGTGAGAGGAGGGCTGGGTCTGTACGTTGGTAAGGTGAGAGGAGGTCTGGGTCTGTACGTTGGTAATGGGAGCGGAGGGCTGGGTCTGTAAATTGGTAAGGTGAGAGGAGGGCTGGGTCTGTACGTTGGTAATGGGAGAGGAGGGCTGGATCTGTACGTTGGTAATGGGAGAGGAGGGTTGGGTCTGTACGTTGGTAAGGTGAGAGGAGGGCTGGGTCTGTACGTTGGTAAGGTGAGAGGAGGGCTGGGTCTGTACGTTGGTAATGGGAGAGGAGGGCCGGGTCTGTACATTGGTAAGGTGAGAGGAGGGCTGGGTCTGTACGTTGGTAATGGGAGAGGATGGCTGGGTCTGTACGTTGGTAAGGTGAGAGGAGGGCTGGGTCTGTACGTTGGTAAGATGAGAGGAGGGCTGGGTCTGTACGTTGGTAATGGGAGAGGAGGGCCGGGTCTGTACATTGGTAAGGTGAGAGGAGGGCCGGGTCTGTACGTTGGTAATGGGAGAGGATGGCTGGGTCTGTACGTTGGTAAGGTGAGAGGAGGGCCGGGTCTGTATGTTGGTAAGGTGAGAGGAGAGCTGGGTCTTTACGTTGGTAAGGTGAGAGGAGTTCTGGGTCTGTACATTGGTAAGGTGAGAGGAGGGCTGGGTCTATACGTTGGTAAGGTGAGAGGAGGGCTGGGTCTGTACGTTGGTAATGGGAGAGGAGGGCTGGGTCTGTACGTTGGTAATGGGAGAGGAGGGCTGGGTCTGTACGTTGGTAAGGTGAGAGGAGGGCTGGGTCTGTACGTTGGTAAGGTGAGAGGAGGGCTGGGTCTGTGCGTTGGTAATGTGAGAGGAGGGCTGGGTCTGTACGTTGGTAAGGTGAGAGGAGGGCTGGGTCTGTACGTTGGTAAGGTGAGAGGAGGGCTGGGTCTGTACGTTGGTAAGGTGAGAGGAGGGCTGGGTCTGTACGTTGGTAATGGGAGAGGAGGGCTGGGTCTGTACGTTGATAAGGTGAGAGGAGGGCTGGGTCTGTACGTTGGTAATGGGAGAGGAGGGCTGGGTCTGTACGTTGATAAGGTGAGAGGAGGGCTGGGTCTGTACGTTGGTAAGGTGAGAGGAGGGCTGGGTCTGTGCGTTGGTAATGTGAGAGGAGGGCTGGGTCTGTACGTTGGTAAGGTGAGAGGAGGGCTGGGTCTGTACGTTGGTAAGGTGAGAGGAGGGCTGGGTCTGTACGTTGGTAAGGTGAGAGGAGGGCTGGGTCTGTACGTTGGTAATGGGAGAGGAGGGGTGGGTCTGTACGTTGATAAGGTGAGAGGAGGGCTGGGTCTGTACGTTGGTAATGGGAGAGGAGGGCTGGGTCTGTACGTTGATAAGGTGAGAGGAGGGCTGGGTCTGTACGTTGGTAAGGTGAGAGGAGGGGTTACTGGGTTGGTGAGGATGGAAAGAGGACAGAAGAGGGATTGTGCTCTAGAAGTTAGAGGTTGGTAATGTATACATGGGCTGAGGCTGTAGGTTAGAGAACATTGTAGAACAGTGTTTGTGAGTACGTAAGCAGAGAGGAGTCTGCCCCCAGGATAGAACCAGATCCTTATATCGGAGAGAGACAGTATTTACTTAACTCAGTTTGTTTGTGTTCAGTGTTCTCCTGACCCCACACACACACATACACAGGCGCAGGTTCCAGCGTGTATCGTACACCAGCAGACGGCAGTGAAACCCTAACTGGAGTATTTGAGACACTAACCCTAGTGATTACCCACAATGCTTAGCTCCTGCTTTAGAGCTCAGCATGTGAGAGCTACAAATAAGCTCTGCGTGGGTCCATGGGAAACACACAAACACAAACACACACACACACACACACACACACACACCCACCCAGTCCCAACCCAAAACACACATTATCATCACTCTCCTGAGCTGACATGAAGGAGCCTCACTCCCACTGCATCTGATGGAAGTGGTGTTGTTGTGTATGTCTGTGGTTGTGTGTTTTTGTGTATGTGTGTGTGTGTGATCCTGTTATTTACCCTCACGGCTGAGTGACAGTAGCCGTTGGCATGGCGATGTGGTGTTTACGTCTCATTGAGCTGCAATACGATCAAATACTGTTCTAATACATGACCCTGACACAGTGTGTGTGTGTGTGTGTGGAGGGTCTGTATTTAGCCTGATGTTTTCCAACCTCTTCTTTAGTAAGATTAGATATAGTGTTCTTACAGTCACACTCGTACAGTGTTATAGAGTCATATCTCTCTCTCTCTCTCTCTCTCTCTCTCTCTCTCTCTCTCTCTCTCTCTCTTTCTCTCTCTCTCAATTCAATTTCAATTTAAGGGGCTTTATTGACATGGGAAACATATGTTTACATTGCCAAAGCAAATGAAATAGATAATAAACAAATGTGAAATAAACAATAAAAAATGTACAGTAAACATTACACTCACATAAGTTCCAAAATAATAAAGACATTTCAAATGTCATATTATGTGCAAATAGTTAAAGTACCAAAGGGAAAATAAATCAACATAAATATGGGTTGTATTTACAATGATGTTTGTTCTTCACTGGTTGCCCTTTTCTTGTGGCAACAGGTCACACATCCTGCAGCTGGGATGGCACACTGTGGTATTTCACCCAATAGATATGGGACTTTATCAAAATGTGATTTGTTTTCGAATTCTTTGTGGTCATACATTTGGCAGGAAGTTAGGAAGTGCAGCTCAGTTTCCACCTCATTTTTTGGGCAGTGTGCACATCCCCTCTCTCTCTCTCTCTCTCTCTCTCTCTCTCTCTCTCTCTCTCTCTCTCTCTCTCTCTCTCTCTCTCTCTCTCTCTCTCTCTCTCTCTCTCTCTCTCTTTCTCTCTCTCTCTGTGTAATGACTATGTCGTCTTCTGTACTGATTTGATCTGTTCTGATGTTCTGTTTTTCACGGCCTGAGCAGCGGTCAGCCACTTCAGTCTTATTTTCCTTGTGTGTGTGTGTGTGTGTGTCTGTATGTGTGCGCATGGTGTGTGTGTGGTGTGTGTGTCTGGGCAGAAATGGATCTGTCAGATCTGAGAGTAATCATGTGGAACACGGCAGAGACCCAGTGGATTAAGAAACTCAGACCAAATATAGCCTCGAATACTGCTTCTGGGGTGTGTGTGTGTGTGTGCGTGCGTGCGTGCGTGCGTGCGTGCGTGCGTGCGTACGTGCATGTGTGTGTTGTTGGCCTTGTGAGACCTTGTGATAGCCAGGTCAGTCCAGGGACAGCCTGTGTTTTGTGAAGATGATGGTGAGTATAACATGTCTTATGATGAGCTACCTTATGATGCCATGGTTCAGGAGAAACACATACAGTCCCTGTTTTTCCATTTCATGTTTTTATGGATATGTCAACTTGTTCTGCTTCTGATTCAGTCAGACACAGCTGTTACAAACTAACATTCTTTCAGTAGCCTGATTCACATCAAAATGGTCTAACCTGAAATGGACACGATAACAAATTAACATTTTGAAGCAATTGTGAGCGGGCTCTACTTTACTCTATAATAAATAATAATATGCCATTTAGCAGACGCTTTTATCCAAAGCGACTTACAGTCATGCATACATTTTTTTGTGTACGTGTGGTCCCGGGGATCGAACCCACTACCTTGGCGTTACAAGCGCCGTGCTCTACCAACTGAGCTACAGAGGACCACAATCTCTAATCTGATAAGGACCCTTTAATGTTGACATAACAGTGGATCCGTTTCACATTTTCCATACCAATTATGATAACAGTTAGCATAAAGGTTAGCATAACAGTTAGCATAAAATGTAGCATAACAGTTAGCAAAACATTATCGTAACTTCTCCTTATGACCCAGAGAGATGAGATAAGAGCAGGACAATGTTTATGTTTTTCACTAATCCATCTAATCAACCAGTTAACATTACATGTACATTTACACTTGTTTACATTATACATGTTTAATTAGATCCTTGATTAAAGATGGTCAGAGATAATTTGCTATCATCAATATTAATGATGAATTATGTTTGGATATTATCTCTGGATTAATTATAGTTGTAAATATTTGTTTATTTGATTTGGTATTTTAATAGCTGCACAACCGTGACTGTGTAAACACTTGAATGAATTAGAAGTCTATTGAAAGCCCCATTTGATCTACTGGAACATGATTGGTTTTGTCATTGAGTTAAAAAAAAAATAGTTATATGAGTCATAGTTCGTTGTATGTCTATCTATTTCTATCTCTGGTGACACTGTGATGAGGTGTGAATAAAGGAGTCAGGCGCAGGAGGTAAAACACTGAAGTCCAGAGTTTATTCCGTTTACATAAATAAAACGCTCCCAGCGTGAAAACGAAACTAATACAAGGGAAAATATTCCACCTTGGCAAGTACAAATAGAAGAGTAGCTCAACCAAGCTACTCGCTCTCACAATAAACAATCACTCACAAAGACAAGGGGAACAGAGGGAACACTTATACACATACTAATTAGGGGAATGAGCACCAGGTGTGTGTGATTGACAAGACATGACAAGTGGAGTGATGAGAATGGGATCGGCAGTAGCTAGTAAACCGGTGACGACGAACGCCGAAACCTGCCCGAACAAGGAGGGGAGGCAGCCTCGGCGGAAGTTGTGACAGACACACAATCAAGCCCTCACAGTATACCCCATCGCTCTCTCTCTCTCTCTCTCTCTCTCTCCGACACTAATATCTCTCTCTCTCTTGGAGCTCTCCTCCAGAAAGATACTACGAAGACGGTGCGAGCGGGCAGTTAGAGTGGAGCACTAGATCTACGAGGCTTCTCTAGACTCTCTCTCTCTCTCTCTCTCTTATCTCTCTTCTTCTCTCTCTCTCTTCTCTCTCTCTCTCTCCTACTCTCTTCTCTCTCTCTCCTCTCTCTCAATCTCTCAGGTTCTAATTAACACTTGTGCAGAGTTTTCCAGCAGAGAAGAGGAGACTAGAGAGATCAGGGTAGAAGAGGAGACTAGAGAGATCAGGGTAGAAGAGGAGACTAGAGAGATCAGGGTAGAAGAGGAGACTAGAGAGATCAGGGTAGAAGAGGAGAATAAAATAGCCAGGTCACCCATGATACAAGTCAGTATTCGACGTCCATCCATGTCTGAGGACGTCAAGAGATGACGTGGAAACTGGCCACTAGGGGAAACAGTGAGCGCTTTTACTGTCAAGTAGGTTTCGGTTTTGCTAGAGTGTTGTGGACGGGGATGGTCGATTCCAAAAGTTCTAATCCAGCGAAATAGATTTTTGTTTTAAAACGTATCCCAAACCTTAACCCTAACTTTAAAAACGTTTGGAACAACTTTGAAATTTGACTTTAGAGAAACATGGATGAACGTCTAATTCTGATGTGAGACTGTGAGAGCTAGTTGGAATAGAAGGAGGAGAAAGAAAGGGTTTCTCAAACTCGGTCCTCGGGACCCCAAGGGGTACACATTTAGGTTTTTGCCCTAGCAGTACACAGCTGATTCAAATAATCAGCTAATCATCAAGCTTTTATCATTTGAATCAGCTGTGTAATGCTAGAGCAAAAACCAAAACATGTACCCCTTGGGGTCCTGAGGACCGAGTTTGGGAAACACTGCATAATGTCTCTTCTCAGGATGGGGCTTCTCTATGGAGACACGGAACTGTGGCATACAATGGCACACATACACACACACACACCCTGTGGAGTCTCGAGTGAAAGCCCTCTCCTCAGGCAGCCTTTTAATAAGCCCTGTCCTGCCCCCGATCTGCCCCCCCACACGCATGCATACACACATAAAACACACACACAGAGACACACACACACACAGACACGGAGCCCCTGTGTATTTCTGTCACTCTACCATAGCTCAGAGGGAGCAGCTCTGGTCTCTGAAGGCCTCCTGGGGCTAGTAGCCAGACTGCTGCCTGTTGACCATGCATACACACAGACTGGGGAGAGTCAGCACAACAAGACGCTGAGGGAGACCTGCTACTCATAGCATGTGTGTGTCTATATATTTATATGCCATTTAGCAGACTTTAGTCTCCACAGCAACTTACAGTATAGTGAGTATCTGCATTTTATCCTTGCAGGCATTGAAACCACAACCTTGGCATTGCTTGCGCCACACTTTTACCAACTTAGATGTTGACGTGGTTTATCTGAATGGTGATTCTGATGACTCTGCCTACTGCTGGACAGGGTGGGGCTGTTGTGTAAGAGCCTTGCACCACCCCCCCCCCCCCCCCCCTCTCTCTCTCTCTCTCTCTCTCTCTCTCTCTCTCTCTCTCTCTCTCTCTCTTCCTCCTTTTCTCATTTACTCCTCTTCTTTCATTCTCTCCCTTCCCTTGGAGGTGATCCTCCACAGAACAACAGGGCTGTGTTCACTGTGGAGGGGGATGAGGAGAGAGGAGGTGG